CTGCTGCTGCTACTGCTACTATTACAATTACTACTACTGCTACTGCTACTGCTGCTGCTGCTGCTGCTACCGCCACTGCTAATAATAAATTTCTTTTAACACAAAATTTAGAAAGTTGAAGAAACTTATTTACACTGAAGCTGTGTATAAAACAATAATAAATATATTGAGAAAATTAAATATAATGGTAAATATATGATAATAATAGAAATATATCACTAAAATTGAGATATAGAGGATGTTGTATGGGCGTGCGCGGAGATACGAATTTTATCTTTGAGTGTTGAAAAGATCTCTTATGACTGAGCGTAGTGAACAAGTGAGAGATTTTCAACATGAGAAGATAAAATTCTTATTTTCACGTGTGAAGATATCAATTTTTCGAAATAGAGAAAAATAGATATTTCATTGGTAATTATATAATAAACAAATTATAATCAATAGTAGTAATTACTATAAATATGCAATCATATTATATAGTATTAATATTTTCTTTATTAAAAGAAAAACATTAACATACTTATAACATAGCTGATACATCGCCGGCACTTTGCTTGGCASTTTTGTGTGTAGATATGAAATTTAAGACTATAGCGCCAAAGAACTTCACCAAGTTGGCTGGGACATAGACGGTACATRTACTGACCAGCCATGCAATGTATGAATCAGGTACATAATCTAGTATATATACATTASACCGACCACTGTTGCTTCTTTAAATTACTCCTTATCAATTCACCACAGGATGTACTGTTTACTTTAACAAAACATTTGACAAAGGCTGAGAAAAGAATCACTGTAGTTGACATTAAAGGCAAAACACTTTTTTCATAATTGCATCGAAAATCCCTAATATATGAGTCTTAATGATGTGTTTTTCAAGTTAGAACTAGATGTTTGGATAGGATATTTACAAATGATCACAAGAAATGATGTGGCCTTACCTCTGAGGCTCTTGCTTTTTCTCTTTAAACAAAACATGGCATATCAAAACAGCTGAGAAAACCAAAAATGTGCTGTAGTTTTACATCTTAAGAAGCCAGTGCTTAAAAACCATGATCAAGTTCCAATCCAAACTYATTTCTGGGTTTGATTTTTTGGTAGGCTAGAATTTAATTTCCTAAAAWAAGATTACAATAGTTTTGTAGACACAAGCTTTTGAATCACAGGGCAACGAACTAAACTCAAAAAGAATGCACTGAAATTTGAATATATTTTCTGCATGACTGATTTGTGTTTACATGTGACTTAGACACATACAATCTACTTAAATGCTAAGAATAAATCTTAAACTATAGATAACCCAATATACATTTAGTAATAATAATATTAGAATAGTATTAAAATAATTAGAAATAATTATTTGATAATCTTTGAGTGGAATAAATCATACGTTATAAAATTACTTAAAACAAAACAGAGTAAAAATTATAATAATTTGACTACCAATTTTAAATATTTTGCAAATTTGTTAAAATTGAAAGTTTTATGAACATGTGCCTCTTACACTCAATTTATTGAAATACATTTATCATTCAAAAWTTTTTTTCCTTTTCCTTTTCTTATTCATTAATCATTATTTTTCTTTTCAAAGATTTCTGTTTGTTGCACCTTATTWAAAAAAATGTCCTTTTTTCATGAGGGTAGCACTTAATAGCCAGTGGCTAACAAACCTGTGGCCCTCAWTCCGTGATTGAATTGGTATTTAGGAGTTGATTTTTGATATTATAATGATAAACACTTATTACTACAGCTATTATTATTTTATTATTTCAAAAAGAATAGAATAGTAAAGCATAATCATATTCAATAATTTAAAATTATATTAAGCAAAATTAAGCATCAATTATTGTGTAAATGCAGAAATATCTTCACAACCTCAGTCTAATATAGAATATGAAAAGATTTGTAATTTCTAAAGGCAGGAGAGGGTACAATGAAGATATATGATCATATTACAATCTTCTATACCTCCCCCAAGAGGGGGATTGAGATTTCCAAGGTGTGGGGAGGGTCTGAGGAGGGTATATTGTATTATAGTACCAGAAAATATCCATACCTTCCCCATGGAGAGGGATTGGAATATCCAAGGGGTGGGGAGGGTCTGAGGAGGGTATATTGTGTAGTACCAGAAAATATCCATACCTCCCCCCACAGAGGGGATTGAGATTTCCAAGGGGTGGGGGAGGGTCTGAGGGGGAGGGTCTGAGGGGGAGGGTCTGAGGAGGGTATATTGTGTTACCAGAATACATACATACCTCCCCTATGAAGGGGGATTGAGATTTCCAAGGGGTGGGGGACGGTCTGAGAAAGGGTATATTGCATAGTTCCAGAATACATCCATACCTCCCCCATGGAGTGGTATAGAGATTTCCAAGGGGTGGGGGAGGGTCTGAGGAGGGTATATTGCATAGTACCAGGAAAGATCCATACCTCCCTCATGGAGGGTTTGGAATCACCAAGGGGTGGCAGGGTGGGTTCTAAGAAAGCAGTTCACTTCCAGAATTAAACAGCCATAAAGCCACAAATACTAATTGCAAAAAAGATATTATGTACACCGCATTAAAATATGGCAACCAATATTGAATAACTAACCTCTTTTACATGTAAATCAAAACACTTTCGCATTTCCACAAGGCTAGYCAGTCAAGAACAATATTTATTCAAAAATTTGTCACCGTATTTCAATTTGGTATATATTGTGTACTATTCCAGAGAAAAACAAATCCCTAAAAGGCACAAARAGGGCTCTATTTAGCTTTCTGGTTTTCCATTTGACCTTGGGGTGAAATGTTTACCTTTAAGGATATCAATAGTGGATAATYAAGGCTTGAATAGTGCTAGCTAGCAACCTAATTGGCCCCTAAATTTTCCTACCCACTCATAACATATCACCTCAACACAGCTCCAAGATCAAATCTGTTTCTCCACAAGGCCATGTAATATCTTTTATTTAAGATTTCATATCCAGTATTTTACTCAATAACCTCCCCAGTTCTATACATTAAATGATGTCTATTGGAGCGCTTTGACAAATATCGACAACATCAACAAAAGAAGCTTTAGGACTTTCAATATACCATGGCAACAATGCATTGTTTGATACACTGCAACAAGAGTAAGTTGAATATTATAATAACAATATTATTGTTTGCCTGTCATTATCATCCTCATACAGCCATCCTGCATCTTAAGGCCCTTACTATCAACTAGGAGATAAATGGAGGATATATTACATGATCTTCGAGTGTTCAATTGATATCTCACGAGTGAGCACAGCGAACGAGTGAGATATCTAAATTGAACACCAAAAGATAAAATTTGAATCTCCAAGCGGCCATGTAATGTTCTGTTTATTATATAGATATCGATGAAACTTAAATAAAACAAAAGCTCAAAAATTCTTTATTAAAATAGTAAGCCATTTCAACAGCGATATCTTTACGTGTGAAAGATATGGTATCTTCCACTGGTGAAAGGTATCAAGTTTTCGACACTAGAGAAAACCTGGTATTTCATCGATATCTATATAATAAATCATAATTATAACTGAAAGACTTCAAGCTGTATAATAATTTATAATAATATTTTAATTACTCATATAGGGCAAAATGTATAAAATGATCTAATGCACATTACAATAATAAGAAAAAAAGACACAAAAATAATCAAAATAAATAAAAAATAAAATCAAGGCATCTGCTTAAATAATATTCTACCAAGGGGGACCACTAGAAACTACTAGATGGATATTACCTCTTCTATATATCTTGTTTAAGTGGACCAAGTCTTGTTTTTTATCATCATTAGATAAATAAAACCAAAGTGAGAGACTATTGAACAGACAGCATTTCATACATGTGTTGTTAGGAGAACTGATAGCCATTTGATATGTATCTTCCAGCAACCAGCTAGAAATATTAATGAATTATTCCTCTACATGAAACGTTATGGCAGACACATAGTTAGAAAATGGAATTGGCAACATTGAATAAACCAATCAAACTGTGACACCATATTTTATCCAATAAGAATGCTTAGATTGTAAATGAATACAGCCGCCAGTGAAGGTTTTAGTGCCTAATTACCATTTCAGTTTTTCACGCACAATATATTTTAAATATGAGTTATACATTTACAAAATATTTGAGATTATGTGCATGCACTGATTGGTCAAACCAATAGAAAAACATGTTTATATCATATGACAGTTAAGATGCTTAGCTCAAATGTTTTGTTTATTTTAAGAAAGCAATATAAAATGTAGCAATATAAAACGCTATCAAGAGGTCAACTAAACATTCAGCTATGCCTCGTGTTTCTTAATGACTTCTTGTACAGCTCCCAGAAAGGTTAGATAACAATAAACTTGAGCCATTTTGTATTCCTAATATATTTTCTTTTTGCTTTGTTCCTTTGTACATATAGTGCTTAGCATACTGTATACATATTTTTAGTCAGTTAACATTAACTGCGGGAGGAAATAATAAACCTAGGCCCCGTCCACATGTATCCGGAAATTTTTGCATCTGCAAATCCTCTATATATCCAAGCATTTGGGCCACTTGGCCAACATCAGGGATTGAATGAAATTACAGTCATAATTTTTGTTTTAATTTTTGATAAATATGACACCTACGCACAACATACTCAATTTAATAATATGCATGTTCAATAAAGTGACAATTTATTATCAGCAACATAAATTTWAAAAACTGGCTCAGAATCATTTTTCATTCTAGCTAGAATCACATGGAAAATTGCTGTGCAAGTCACACCAAAAGTTACAAGTGTACAGTGTATCAGGATAATAAAGTGATAATCAGGTATAAGTATAAATTAAATTATTAAAACAAAAATGTATTATTCAAATAAATTTATTATTCAAAGGAATAACATTAAGTTCTTAGACTATGATGAGATCAATAGATTCAGTTGCTAGGTTATACAATAACTACATTAGAATGTTTGAAATAATAGCATTAGACTTAAATAAAATATACATTATAATACCACTACTTGCAAGAACATTGTCATACGAAAGTAGAACATTAGTGTTTAGTGGGATAGGAATTATATTAAAAAACAAAAGAAGATCACTGAAGCTGAACTCTTTCTTTTGTCTTTTAATGTATTCCTTTCTCAATAAAATACTAATGTTCTATTCTTTTTTGACAACCTTCTTGCAAGTAGGTGCATATAGATATATATATTTAATATTTAAGGTCTTCTGTTAACTGCAGGCTTTAAAAACAAAAATATGACTCCAAATTCTGACTATTAATATTTTTCTATTTAAATTTAAAAACATTTTAAAAAATCAAATAGGATACCCTAGCCTCTTTCTATTCTCGACTTTCACATCCCCATAATCCTTTGTGTCTTTGGGGGGTAACCACTGGGTAAAAACCCACTTATTTTGCTGAAGGCTGATCAGACAATGTTGAAAAAACCTTGTTTGGTATCCAAAGATAAAATGAAGAAGTAAAAACCGAAAAAGATAGAAGCTTGAAGACGTAATGTTAATTTTAAAAATTTTTTTGTAAGTCAATACATTTTCTGTAAGACCAAAACTCTTCATTATCTGTACACACAAAAATAACTTGGAATAAACTGATAATCARTATTGTACAGATAAAAGCAGGTATAGTATAAATTTAATTAAGAAACCTTTCAATTTGGGACAGCTTTTTGATTGCTTACCCCCAAAAAACCAAAGGCATAATGGGGATGTGAAAGTCAAGAATGGGATGAATGGTTGGCATAGCTGTGAAAGTGCTCGCCTCTCACCAATGCAACCCGGGTTCGTGTCATATGTGAGTAGAGTTGCTTGTTGGTTCTCTCTCGTGCTTTGAGTGTTTTGCTCAGGGTTTACTGGATTTCCTCCCTCCGCAAAAATCATTCTCTAATTTTAATTCAATCTAGAAAGGGTCTGGATGAAAATAACTCTGTGTATCTAGTTACCCTATCAAATTGAGTTTTTTCATTTTAAATCTCTTAACATTTTTGAATATTAATTGAATTGAAACTTGCCCCATCAAATCTTTGCCAGTTATTTTGTCTCGTAGCAATAAGCCAGAAATGAGGTATGACTGAGCAAAAACTAATTGTTGGGTAAACATGACAGTCAAYTTAATGGCCAAAAATATTTTAAGCCATGTTAAGAGTATGTAAAAATACATTATTATATAATACAAAACCACAAGAATTGTGAATACCCCTTTTTACAGTTCCGTTCAGTGACCACAAATAATAGTTCCAAGCTGAGGCTGGAGTTTCTGCGCATAGCAAAACTATGCTTTTTATCATGCACAGCAACTCCAACCTTGGCTTGGAACTATTATTCATGGTCATTGAACGCAACTGTAAAATAGAGCATTCGTTTAATTCAGCCAATTTTGTCTAAAAAAATTGTTTTTGAAAATTCGTACATCAAATAAAGGACATAAGGGGAAAAAATTTATACACGAAGTTATTGCATGAAATATTACATTAAAATAAAAATGTGTGAAGACATTAAGTGAGCCAAGAGTATCCTGCCACGTCCAACTTATCTTTGATTTTAAATATCCTTTCATTTACATAATCATTGAAATGGCAGATGAAACCGTTGGTTGAAAATCCACTCAAGCAAGACACAGAATATGGAAAATATGTACGATTTTCAAGATTTTTGACAAAACCTTACATGAACTAAGCTTTTGGAATTTTTTCGTTGGTAAAAAGGAATATTACAAATTGTTATCACCTCGAATTGTTTCAATGATCTCAAAATGTTCCAGAAATAGCGTCTTAATGTTCAAATTCTAGTATGAATATTATTTCCTGCGAGCGTCAATAGATTTCAAAACTATCAAAATAAAGTGACAAAATACTTATTATTTTTAGAGAAGAAGTGATACTACGAAAAATAATAACAATAATAATTATATCAAATCATATTATATAAATAAACACAAGCTCTTCTATACTACATTATAAAGCTCATCAATGGATAACATGGCAAAGATTTGTCATGGATACGAATAAAAAAATACTTCTCATAGACAATAGTCTAATGGAAAAGCTTTAGAAAAAACTTGACTATTAAATTTTAGTAGAAACAAAGACGATTTTCGAGAGCATTTATTTCTACTACGGTGAAAAAGTCAAGAGATTTGTCGATCGACATTTCTTCAAGGGGAACTGTCATTTAAATCTTAGCCGGGGGGAAAAAGTAACAAAGGAAAGGTTTCAAAGAAAAATCAAACGAGAATAAGTAGAATATTCAATAAAGCAGCCTTTTTTAGAAAGTAAAAGATCCGATAAACTCTCTTTATATGGCTTATAATTTATTTATAGATGAACATATGATTCAATTCATAACTTCTCCAAAGGTTTGAAGACGCTGTTCTCGAGAAAAACAACCGAGAAATGACTCTTAATTTACCTTTTATTCCACTGCCACTATATCCATCGCTCCCTCGTTTATCCTTGTTGGTAAATACGTATTTGGCTATGTCCATTTTACTACAAATATTACTTGAAAACATAAATTTTAAAGTTCTTTTTCTAGACAAGAACAACCTAACAAGAAAACAAAATGGCCGCCGAGTCAATGACCTGTGACGTCACTAACCATTAACCAATCAAAATGGGGTGCCTTATGATCTTTTATCCCGCCAAAAAACCAAACAATTAYTGGAATGTTGGTAAAATATGAGTGTTTTTGCAAAAAAGGGATTTAGAGAATAGTTTGGAATGGAATGGAATGAAAATCACAAAGTGGATTGGAAGTTGGAATTAAATTTACTTGAGAAATTAAATGCTAAGTGCGAATTTCATTGACTAGAAYTTTTTGGATTGAGAAAATGGGATTAATACTGTATAAATGCACTGGGACTGCAGGGGTGGATCCAGGAAGTTCRGAAGGGGGTGACTATTACAAAGGTTTTACCAGGAATTCAAGCAAAAAAGGGGGGTGACTGGTACTAACGATATACTGAGAAATTTGAGCAAAAGGGGGTTGACYAGTCACCTATATTACCTTCCCTAGATCTGCCCCTAGACTGGGATTTAGACATAACAAATGGATAATAAAACCATTAAGATGGGAATAGTATTTAATTTGTCCACTAATTAAAGTCATGAAAAATCCAAAAATAGACATATATTTATTCATATCTTGAGTAAGCATATCAGTAAAACAGCAGAATTATTGACTTAGGGACTGGTCYTTATTTATCAGGGGGGGTGGGGGGCTGGTGCAAATAGGGGGTGGGCCGGAATTTTTTATGCATAGGTTTAAGCAAAAATTAGCAAAAATCATGCTTAAAAAGAAGGGAGGAGGGGTAAGCAAAAACATGGCATAGCTGTAGTGTTGGTGGATTTACCCACCCCACCCCTGTTAGGTTTGCAAGCGTGCGAGTGCGCATGTGTGTAATAAAGAGACGAGCATCAAAGCACATGGTTTAGTGTAGTTGATTATTATTTAGAAAATACACCACAATAGCATATTTCATAATGGTGCTGGCCCACTGAAATTTTTGAATGAGASAGGGATTTTGCAAAATTTAGGGCTGTTAAATAGGATTAGAATCCCCCACCTTCAGGACCCTCTTATAAGCAAAAAAAATTTTTTTTTTGATTTGAGAAAATATATGTCTTTCCAGCATAGACCATGAATAAGAGTTCCCTGATAAGAGATTGGAGAACATACAGAAAGAATGCAGTTAGTACACATTTTAATTCCAAAGGTGGTATCAGGATTTTCAGTTTCAAAAAATCGTGGAACCAAAAGAAAAGACATTGCATCTGTACTATTAAGGCRAGTCAATTTCTTGCAAGACTTGCAACCATTGATCAAAGATTTAATGATGGCCATTATCTGGGAGATTTAGGTCACCAGCCCCAAAACTGGGCGAGGCAGTCCAAAATCTTTGGACTTTGGTAGCGCTGTATTCGACATATCYCCACTAACCGTTAGTCATTTGCCCCGGGGGGGATGGGGGTACTCCCTTTGTTCAGGTGGTAGGGGTGATTGGCGCTCTTTTTAGGGTTGAAAATGTTCCCTGCGTGGACCTTTTAGGGGTTCCGACTCAAAAGTCAATTACCTAACATAACTTCGTACCTTTTGGGGTCATTTATTATGCGCAYTATCCATGCTATGCCGCTGTTTACTTTACAATGATGCACTAAATATTTCTTTAATATGATCATCGTTATAATCTTATTATACGCTGTCCTGTCATTCGKTAAGCCGGCGTTGATAGCCRGGGTTAATAGTAAATTACTGAAATAAAGCTGTACTTCTTAGGGTTTGAAACCAGGTTGGTTTTAAGAGCCTTTTTAATTTATGCGTACCTTTTAGGGGCCATTTTAAAAATCAACCGCCGATCACCCCTACCACCTGAACAAAGGGAGTACCCCACCCGGGTCATTTGCCAATCCAAACAAAATATAATTCAAGTTTAAATTTACATCAAGTCATAATGTGGTTTCTGCAAAAGATCAAAAATATTTGAAGAACTAGTAGAAATCTTGAGGATTTATCTAGGGCTTATCTAGTTAGGTTCTTCATCATTTGTTTCATTCATTTTCTCTGTTTTGCTTTTTTGTTTCTCTTCATGTGAAATTCTTATTCTCTCTAACAGTTCSTCTAATGATTCTGGGCTTGAGTAGGGTTCTTTTCTAATAAAACCAAAGTAGATTATAACGCTGAATAACGTTAGACCAAGGTATAAAGGAAAGTTGGACTTCTTTGTTCTGCTAATTCCCAAAGTGTCATCAACTGTGTGAAATTTTGCCTTGGATTTGGAAAACGCAACTGGTTCGTCCTTGCCTGCTTTTTGATACGTTATTTTTTTAGCTGAAGTAGAAAATCTGTAACATGAAACGCCTTCAGCTCTAAAAATTTGAAAAAAACATACAAGTAAACAATCATGGCGCCAAATGAACCTTTACAATCAATTTTATAGTCAAGTTCGTCAAGATGCCCTGAAACAGCCTCTGAGCTTATCAAAGCCAGGTCAAGGCTGACACAAGGCCATACTCTCCTCCTACTTAATTTAGCTACAATGATTTGCACTTACCTCGTTATAAAAGGGAAAGTAAATACGCGTGAAAAGTGATGGTTCAGTTTAGCTGCCATCTTGGATTACTGTGGTTGTCCGCTGAATCAGCGAGAAGGCGGGCGCGYAGGAAGGGTTCCAGAAAGAGAAAGAGAGGAAAAATGGGATAGAAAATGAGAAAAATTTTTAAAAAAAGAAAGGGCATAAAATCTAACTTATTTCAAGGGTTACCTTGGTTTACATTAGAAGCACAATATATTTTTCGAGTCTGAAGATCTAATGAATCATTTAAATTAGTATATAATTTATACTAGTGAATCGTTGAAATACGATGGTCATAGTCATTTAAAAAACAATATTTTATTTTCAACACGAGACCTTAATCCCATAAATCTCATTTACGATACGCAACTAAATTTAATTGACTGTCCAGATCGATCCGTGTAAACGCGTGCGTCATGATCGTGATTCGCGTAAAAGTCTGCGTGTCTTCCCCTTGCCCGTGAAGGATTGAGAACTAATGGACCAAATCAAAGATGGCGTCTTGTTTAGTTGTGTTTTGACGGCATTTTCTTCTTTTTTATCTTTATTTTACTTCGTAAATTATTATTTTAATCAATAAGCCTTCTTACATTTTATTCCTTTATATATAGGATTACGATTTGTCTTAAAGGTAAGATAATTTTTCATTTTTTAGCAATTCTTACAAACAAAAAACATGCAAGATTCAGCTCATTCCATCAAGGAAATGTTTAAAATTACTTGCTGATCTCTTCGTAGTTTAMATCTGAATCATACAAACTCCAAGATAATAGACGGATTTATTGATTTAAAAATGAAWCATCCTCTTGTTCCATGTTGTATTTTATTTCTATTTTCAGTTATACRAATGGTTGATATCGATAGTGACGAGAGTAGTCCTTCAGAGAATGATTTCCACTGTAGCTGTTGTTATGAGTTGATGGTTGATGCAACAACACTGAACTGTGGACACAGCTTTTGTCGCTTCTGTCTTGCACAGTGGTGGCACTCATCGAAGAAGACAACTTGTCCAGAATGTCGTCAGCAGTGGTCCGGATTTCCAAGCACAAATATTTTGCTAAGGTGGGAACAACCATAGCCAAGAGGATTGTGGGCAGTGTATAAAGAGGACATAGTTCACCTTAATCCTGACGCAGCAATTCTGTTTCCTTCATTAAGCAACTTATTTTACACCTAATTACTGTACCAGAATGAATACACTGTTTCATGGTACTTACCCATATAACGAATATAAGTGAGCCCCCCCCCACCCCCCCAGGATTAATGTGCATTAGTAAAAATACACAGGTGATTATTGAAAATCTTGCGCGCTTATTGGTCAAGAAACTCACACTATCACACGATAATCACCTCCAGCGATAACCCAAAATGGCAGCCAGCCGCTTTGTTGCTGTTACTGGGAAAAAATGTCTTTCATATTCTTTTTTTCTTTTTTTGAAAGAAACACCTGTGTATTTATACTAAAACAACTATTTGCCTCAGGCTCAGTAAGACTYGCGTCTCGGTAAATATTCCCCGATGTTCACTTCGCCTTTGGTGAATAATTGTTAATGTTGTTAACTTACTGTAACAGTCAATCATTACTTTTTTGTTGCAGAAAAACAATCAAAAAATTGTTCCCGGATGAATTAGCTGAAAGAAAAGCATCCCTAGAAGCACAGCATAAATATCAAAAAATTATTGATAAATTTGAATCTTTTGGTAAAAAACAAAATGGTCAAAACCAACGAGGAAGCCAGGGTCAACAAAATAGACTGATTAGCGTTACCAAGACTGTTGCTATAGTGGCTGGGATTTTAGGAGTTTTAATGGTAGATTATCATTTTTATTATCATTCTTATTA